ATTCTATTCTATTCTATTCTATTCTATTCTATTCTATTCTATTCTATTCTATTCTATTCTATTCTATTCTCTGTTCTATTCTATTCTATTTATTAGCCTAATACAGAAGCGTAACACAAGCTCCATAACCTGAAACCGTCAAGTTTTCTCCTGATATAATTTAAGGTCTATAGTACAAATATTTTTTTAAAAAATGTTCTAAATCTGAAATTGAATACCTATTCGGTTTCCCAGAAAGTGTCGGAAGGGAAGCTAACGGAGGGAAAAAAATGAAATACCTCTTCGGAATTTGTGGTCCTCAACTCTTCATGGTTTGGAGAACTTGAAAGCAGAGTGGAAGAAGGAGTTTTGTCAGCTTCGCTTAGATTCTGTGGTTCTAACAAAATTGAGGAGACCGATGCTGGACTCCCAGATTCCTCGCTTTCATCATCCTTGCCTAAGAATAGAAAATCAGAAATTTATAGATCAAGCGTCTTCTTTGCCATCACGGGTTTGCCATTCTGCAAGTAGAGTGAAGTGGAATGGAAAATATGGAATGGAGTGGCATTCTATACCTTTCTTCCCTTGAGCCAAAATGACCATATCCTGCACCTTCTTGTAGCGATTGAGGGACTGGCGAAGGTCCTCGATCTTCCGATCCTAGAACAAAGAAAGGCCTCTCTTTGAATCACTTAAGGCATAGAATAACAAGAGTTGGAAAGGACCTTAGAGGTCTTCTAGTCCAGGCCCCTGCCCAAAGCAGGAGATCCTGACCGAGCATCAAACTGATTTAGAAATAAAACACCTGTTTCACGCAGTTATGGTTCCGTGGTATGGTTGAGCAACACGCTGAATGGAAGAATGTAAACGCAACTTGTAACTGTGATACCTGAAGGCATCCAGGTATTTTCCCAGGATTGAATGTGAAGCAAAATGCCTTACTCTGAAACACTGGAAGCTCCAGGATCTTAAGAGCAAGGGGTCCTTGGTGCTCTTTGAGATTGGTTGCTTTCTTGCAGACATTTCATTACCCAACTAGGTAACATCATCAGTGTAAGTGTTAGGTAATATCATCACTAGCACTGTTACCTAGTTTGGTTAATGAAATGTATGCAAGAAAATAACCAAGCTCAGAACTCACCAAGGGCCCTACTCCTCCTCCCATCCCTCTCCTTCTCTTTTTCCTTTTTCTTCTCCATATCCTTCTAATTCTTCTCCTTCTCTTCCTCCTCCTTCTCCTCCTCCTTTCCACAAAACCCACTCCCTTCTAGCCCTGATGTTGTTACCTACTTGGGTCATGAAACGTCTGCAAGAAAGCAACATTACAACTCTTTATTGATCTTAAAAACTCCAGCAAATTCATAAATTCCAGCTTTTATGACTAGCCTTGGACCTCAGGGTCACCAACTCAATACCTTCTTTTGAGTTACCAAAATCAAAATCAGAAAATACGTTCATGCCTACCTTTTCTTCATTTGCTGCCAGCAGAGATTCCACGGCCTTCTTCATCTTTTGAACTTCAACACCTAAAATATAAAGACTACTGCTTACATTCCCGTGGAAGGTTAGAAAGAAAACCAATCTTGACCAACTCTATAGTTTAGCACGAACTGGGAGAATTACAGCTAGATTCCTTTCAGTTAAACCCCAAATTTAAACAGAAAGAAATCAAATTAGTTTTTAATGGAGAAAGGGGCATGTGACGATCATGCGCATTGAAGATTAATAATCATCATTCCTTGCACACTTCTCGTCCATTACAGTACTGGCAGCATTGAAAGACACTGCAAGCCAACTTGTAAATTGAAGTCAACACAATGTTAACCAAAGTGACAAATTTTAAATCAGGGGACAATGTGTGAAGGACTCAAAAGCAATGTAAAATGGGAATTCTAAAAACGACAAGTTTGTGATTTTTGACTCACTCTTACCAACTACGCAACTGTTGCTCTGTAAAATACAATGGGAATGCTCAATCTTATTCATTTGTCATTAACGTTACAAATCTCCAGAGATTAAAACATTGATGAAATAACATCAACAGCCGCAAAACAAAGTGATGGAAAATGGAACAGGTGAAGAAACATAAAAAGAGTAGGAAAAAACATGGTAATGGATTATATCAAAGTGATTCTGAAATGAGAGATTTAAGACAAGAAGGTGGATGTCTCTACTGCCATAAAATGTCATGCTGATATGTGGTGGTGCAGTGGTTAGAATGGAGAATTGCAGGCTGACTCTGCGCACTGCCAGCAGTTCGATCCTGAATGGCGCAAGGTTGACTCAGCCTTCCATCCTTCCGAGGTCAGTAAAATGAGGACCCTGATTGTTGGGGAAAATAGGCTGACTCTGTAAATCACTTAGAGTGGGCTGTAAAGCACTATGAAGTGGTATATAAGTCTGAGTTCTATTGCTATTCAGCCTTAGTTTCTCACAAAAAAACAGTAGAAGATGCTAGCAAGGACCATTTTGTGATCTCTGATAAATAAAATCAATTAGACTTGTGAGAATGGAATTTATCAAAGGTACTTGTTGCTCTCAGATCAATTTAATCAATCCAGTTGAACCGAAATGGAGACCTTTGCGTTACATGCTAAGCATGTTCCCAACTGTGAACCAAGAACTATTGCTATTAGAAATCCATCACTTCCCTTAAAGGGAAAATACAGGTAGTCCTCAACTTACAACAGTTCATTTAGTGACCGTTCCAAGTTCCAACGGCACCAAAAAAATGTGACTTATGATTGTTTTTCACACCTACAACTATGGCAGCCTGATCACATGATCAAAATTCAGACGCTCGGCAACCGGTTCATATTTATGACAGTTGCATTGTCCTCTGGAAAACTTCTGACAAGTAAAGCCAGATTTACTTAATAACCATGTTACTAATTTAATAGCTGTGGCAATTCACTTAGCAACTGTGGAAAGACTGGTCGTAAAATGGGGCTTAACTACCACCATCTCACTTAGCAACAGAAATTTTGGGCTCAATTGTAAGTCAAGGACCACCTGTAGAGCATTTAAAAACCACAAGGGTCCCCTTTACTGTTTCCCTCGCTGAACTACAGATGAAGGGTGAAGATGAGGTGAGGGGTTTTGTTAATATGGTTTTCGCATGATACATGCAGGAAGCACTACTGGGAAAACAATGTGTGAAACATGTTGGAGAGAGGACATTTAAAAAAAAACCCTTACTTTTGTCTTTCAGCTTCTTTTTACAATTGTCATCTGTGCAGGAAGACCCACGAGACAAATCAGCATCAAACCTCCTGTAGCGCATTTGTTACCAGATTTGTTCACAAATTGTTCTGACCCAGCTCCCTGAATATGACAAACCCTCTGCAGTTAAATCAATGATTCCTTTATTAGGAGCGCCAGCAGTTCTGGTAACAAGTCCAGCTGGCCACAAAAGGAATAGTTGTGTTAACTCATAAAACATTTTGTATACACGTTTTAGAATTGACAACAGAAAGAGGGGGGGGAATTTCAAAGAGCAGGCGGCAGTGTGGAATCGAAAGTACATTCCATTCATATTTTCTTTAAAGACTGATTAGATGACTGAAGCTTCTGCCCCACAAAAATC